ATGAAGAGTAGAAAGGTGGTATTTACCATTAGGAGTATGGACAAAACCTGAGCCAGAGTGTGTGATGGGTAGGGATTGACCATTGCCTACGGTAATAGCATCAGTACCTGTGTATTGATGAGGAGATTGTAGCTGAGAATAATCAGACGTGACATGGGTGTTGGCACCAGTGTCCAGATACCAGTTTGCAGAATGATTACTCGTAGATGCATGCATTGCACGGGGAGCACTGGAGGAGGAGTTCGCGGTATAAGAATCATCAAATCGATACCAGCACGCAGACGTAGAGTGACCTTGTTTCTCGCAGATTTGGCAGGTTGGCAGATCCCGTGACGGTCGACCGTTTCCCTGGGACGGTCGACCGTTGTTCCTTTCTCCACGTCCGCTGTTGTATCCACGTCCAGGTGACGGTCGACCGCGGTAGCCTCCTCTACCGCGACCTCGATCGTTTGTAGCGAGAAGTGCTGTGCGAGGTTCGGTGATGGTAGACTCGGTGAGGCTGAGTTTATTCTCCATCTCCAGGTTTATTTCTTCGGAGATCAGCCATCCAGAAAGCTGATTTAACGAATTATTGGTATTGTTCATGCGAATGTTTTGCTTAAAGGATGAGTATTCGGTGGGAAGACCACGAATAACAGCATTCACCACATCACGTTTAGGGATCTCTTCTTTCAAGGCATCGAGATCTGAGAGAATAGTTGCCACATCATCAAGGTATTGTGTCATAGTTTTGGTACCTTTACGAAGAGTGTGGAGTTTGTCCCGAAGCTGATAAACATGAGCGGTGGACACGGAGTTGTACCGTGTGGCCAAAGCATCCCAGAGGGCAGCAAATGTGGTGAAGCCGCGAGCATGTTTGTGAACGGAGGGGCTGATGACCGCTAGGAGGCAGGCGCGGATCTGTGTGTCAACGATGGTCCAGGAGGTATACTCTGGATTAGGGACGATTTTATCGTTTTTGGAGATAGTTGGCGCCGGGGCTGCTTCATGACCATCAATCCATCCAAGGAGGAGATTAGCTGAAAGAGCTGT